GCAACTCTTGATCTCAGGGTTGTGAGTGTGAGCCCCATGTTGGGTGCAGAGATTGCTTAGGAAAAAAATAATTAAAAAAAACCTCGAAATAAAATGCTAGATAACTGTATCCACTGGTATGTAGGAGGTACATACTAGGAAAACTGAATACAGAAGAACTGTACTACGCACAGCTGACTTTATTCCAGTAATGCAAGGATAGTTTATTTTTTTTTTTTAATTTTTTTTTCTTCGTTTTTATTTATTTTTGGGACAGAGAGAGACGGAGCATGAACGGGGGAGGGGCAGAGAGAGAGGGAGACACAGAATCGGAAACAGGCTCCAGGCTCTGAGCCATCCGCCCAGAGCCCGACGCGGGGCTCGAACTCACGGACCGCGAGATCGTGACCTGGCTAAAGTCGGAGGCTTAACCGACTGCGCCACCCAGGCGCCCCGCAAGGATAGTTTAATAAGAACCATTTAATTCTCTCAAAAGATGAAGAAAAGAGATGTCAGAAAACCCCAAGCCACTCAATTAAAAAAAATATATTACTAAACTAGAAATAGACAAGAAAGAGTATCTACAAAATAATCCACAGCACATTTCTTTAAACTCAGGGACATGGATAACCTCTCACTGAACCTTTAGTCAAAAATGTACCACAGATCAGAACCTGAGCAATAAAATGGGCAAAACCAATTGAAAGAAGACTGGAAAAACCCAAAACTGTCATTATGCAACTGTTTTGAGATCAATATAAACATCAATTGGAATTTCACATTCAAAAAACAACTAAGGTTTAAAAGGGGTTATAACCAGTATTCACAATACCAGCAAAACCTATGAAGTACCTGGGGGGAACCTGTGCAAGGTAACATTATAGCAAAAGAATGCAAATTGTAAGCAGTCAAATGGAGAGAGGGACAAGAGGGTGAGGTTCGGGAGGATCCCAAACCAGAAGTTTCCATTGTCCTATCCTCTGGGAGTTGGGACACATTACTTATCCATCCAGCATATCCACGAGTGCCAATATGTAGGGTATTGCCACCACAGAGGTGCATCTGAGTTTCAGTGTCTGTAGTTTTTATTAGAATTTCATTAATCAGTAAGCAGGACTGATTTAATCACTGGCCATTTGACTCAGCCTCCAGCACCACTACCATCTTGGAGCTAAGGCTGGTCTCACCAGGCTCAAAGCCCCCACCCCCTAATCGCATGGTTGGTCTTTCTGGCATAAATAGCCCCATGCCAAGTGTCTTCATTGGCATAAACTACCCATAGACCCACCATGAATAATAACAGGGACACGCCTGTCACTTAGGACATTCCAACAGTTTAGAGGCTACCTCCCAGGAACTGAGGACAAAGCCCAGGCAAATGGTTTATCACAAAATACCTAGCAAAAGACTAAGTTTCTAAGTACGTGACTATTCTCTAAAATGAGTAAAGACAAACTTGTAAGTTTTAAAATTGGCCAACGTAATATATAAAGATGTTGAATCACTATGTTGTACACCTGTAACGTTGTTGTATCAACTGTAATGAAATTTAAAAATTAAAGTAAGTAAATAAAATAAAACTGGCCAATGAACATATAAAAAGATAATCGGGGCACCCAGGTGGCTCAGTTGGTTAAGTATCCGACTCTTGATCTCGGCTCAGGTCATGATCTCACGGTTTTGTGAGTTTGAGCCCCACATCAGGCACTGTGCTGACAGTGTGGAGCCTGCCTAGGATTCTCTCTCTCCTCTCTCTCTGCCCCTCCCCAACTCATGCTGTGTCTTTCTCTCTCTCAAAATAAATAAACATTAAAATTAAAGAAAAAAGATAATCAACCATCATAGTTATGAGAATAGTACATATGGAGACCACAACGAGAGGACTTTGACACCCAAAAGATGGTCAAAAACAAGAATGAAAATACTAAGTGTGGGAAAGCTTACTGATCAACAGACACTTTTACAATACTGATGAGAGAGTAAGGTGGTACAAGAGAAATTTGGCTTTTCCTTCTAGATGAAAATTCATCTATTTTATGTCAGAAATTATACTTCTGGGCTAGACTATATAGATTCTCACAATGACCAGGAGATATATAAGACTTTGGAACTTCACTACTTTTAACAGCCGAAACCCAGAAACAATACGAATGTCCAACAGTAGGAGAATGGATGCGTGAACTACACTATATTCATGCAATGAAATTCATTTTTTTTTTTTAATTTTTTTCAACGTTTATTTATTTGTGGGACAGAGAGAGACAGAGCATGAACGGGGGAGGGGCAGAGAGAGAGGGAGACACAGAATCGGAAACAGGCTCCAGGCTCCGAGCCATCAGCCCAGAGCCTGACGCGGGGCTCGAACTCACGGACCGCGAGATCGTGACCTGGCTGAAGTCGGACGCTTAACCGACTGCGCCACCCAGGCACCCCACAATGAAATTCATTTTAATGAGCCAAACTTACATGCAAGATGGATGAATCACAGACTTTTTTTTTAATTAAACAAAATTGGGGGCACCTGGGTGACTCAGTCGGTTAGGCGTCCGACTTCAGCTCAGGTCATGATCTCACAGTCCATGAGTTTGAGCCCTGCATCGGCCTCTGTGCTGATAGCCTGGAGCCTGCTTCTGATCCTGTGTGTCTCTCTCTGCCCCTCCCCTGCTCATGCTCTGTCTCTGTCTCAAAAATAAAAACATTTAAGAAATGTTTTTAATAAATAATTAAAAAAATTTTTTTTTATTTTAGAGAGAGAGTGCAAGCAGGGGAGAGGGGCAGAGGGAGAGAGCATCTTAAGCAGGCTCCAGGCTGAGCATCGAGCCTGACACAGGGATCAATCCCATGACCCTAGGATCATGACCTGAGCTGAAATCGAGAGACTCAGATGCTCAACTGACTGAGCCACCCAGGCACCCTCAATCACAGACTTGTAATGAATCAAGAAAAGCAAGCCTCAGAAGACCACATTATAAGATCCTTATTATAACACTTACAAACTAGAAAAATTAAAGAGTGTACTCTTATGGTATTCATAGACGTGATAAAATTATAAAAGTCAAGGGAATACTACATACTAATTTGTGAACAGTAGTTCCAAAGTTTGGGAGAGTTAAAAGGAGGGACTAGGAAGATGAATAAGCATGGAGACTTTTCCATTTTTAAATAATCAAATATGACCTTTAATTAAACAAAACTATAAAGAAAAGCTGAGGTTAATCACCTTTTTCTAAATGGGGCTATCACACTAGAAAAAACTCATAAAAGGATGATACACCCAGTGTCACTAAAGATGTAGAAAAGCCTGGCACAGAGTGTGTGCAAGCATTACATAATGGAACATTACTGGGGAGTTTGGTAAAACTAAACCAGAAGCCTTTGAAATATGAAATATGCAGTTAAGCCGGCCTACTTTTATATATTAAAAAAGGAAAATAGGGGTGCCTGGGTGGCTCGGTCGGTTAGGCGTCCGACTTCGGCTCAGGTCATGATCTCGCGGTCCGTGAGTTCGAGCCCCGCATCGGGCTCTGTGCTGACAGCTCAGAGCCTGGAGCCTGTTTCAGATTCTGTGTCTCCCTCTCTCTGACCATCCCCCGTTCATGCTCTGTCTCTCTCTGTCGCAAAAATAAATAAACGTTAAAAAAAAATTTAAAAAAAAAAGATAAAAAAGGAAAATAGATACAAAATATAATTCGGTTTAAAAATACATTTCAAAATAGTACAGACACTTTAAGGTGATTTTTATCCGCTTTTATTGATGATAAGTATATAACGATAACTTCCTTTTGTCAAGTACCTACCTGTTATGGACTTAATATTTATGTCGTCTAGGTGGCGCCTGGCTGACTCAGTCAGTAGAGCATGCCACGCTTGATCTCAGGGTCCCGGGTTGTGAGTTCAAGCCCTACCTAGGGCGGGGAACCTACTTAAAAAAATAAAAAAAAAAATTCACAGCCTCCAAACTCAGGATTAGTTGTGTATTTGGACACAGGGCCTTTGGGAGACAATTAGGTTTGATGAGGTCATGAAGGTAGGGCCCTCAGGAGTACCTCTGTGAGGTAGATACCAATTTGTCTGCATGGGAAAAATGCGAATTATAGATAGAACTTGGTACCTCACCCCAAATCACACAAACAAGTAGCAGAACGGACATAAAAAGCTAGGACTAACATGATTTCACTCGCATGCAAACACGCATACACTGGCTGACACGCGCACACAGTGTTCATGGCACAATTTTTAACAATGGATCTATGTATGGCAGGTATACTCGTGATCACTTTGCTGTTCTTTCGAGTTCTCTTTATGCTTAAAATTCGGTATGAAAAGCTGGGAAACGTAATATTTCAATGCTTCATACACACCCCAATGTCTGTCTACCTGAGGCCTCCTCGCGTGCCAACCCCACCCACCTCTCCCACGGACGCCAGGCTGCTGCACACCCTGCCCTTCGCTCCTGCACCTACTCACAGCCCCCCCCCCCCCCCCAGACAGCTATTTTCACAGGGTCACGAACCCCTCGGATGCTCGAACTCGGACCACAGGAACCCCAGACGACTAACCCCCAATCCTTTCCTCACCGACCGGACCCCGATGGGCCCCGGGCCCCTGGGTCAGTGGCTCCCCCAGAGCCTCTGTCTACGGCTTGGGGGCGCGTTCCGAAGCACACCTGTCACTGTCAGCAGGAATGGTCTCTCGTCCTAAACACTGATGCCAGCCGAAGACTCCGACAGCCTCCAAACCGCCTTAAACAAGCACCTTCCTACGAGCACCCACCGCAAACCGCAGCTCAGGTCGAGGAATTCCCACAACGAGGGACTCTGAAAGGAGCCTGCAGAAACCTCACAGGACCTCGACCGCGAATCTGTGACCTTACGCCGTGGGAACCCAATCCTCAATACGCCACTTCCGCTTCCGTTCACCTGGTGTGCTGGCCCGTGTCCAGAGCCATTACTCAGATTCAGTAGCACTTTGGAGTGAGCGATCAAGCCACAAACCCTCACTCCGGCCCCGGCTGGAATTACCGCTGGCTAACTCCGCCGCGACGATTTCGCTGCGTATTGGCGGGAGCGGCCATTGCGGATCGTGCCCGCCATCTTGCGTCGTGCGCTGTACGGAGAGCGAGATGGCCACCGTAGGCGACCGGAGTAGGCCGGCCAGACACGAAAGGTGCAAATCCAGCCCATCCTTTCTCCACTTTTCGAGACTTCTCATGTCCGGTTCTTCCACCTCGGCAGCGGCTGTCCGTGCGGTCGCGCATGCTTAGTAGAACCTCAGCGCTCTCTCCTGCAGTCTTCCAACCTCACCGGGACGCTAAGCCAATCACAGACCAGGCCTGAGCCGGAAATGGCCGCTCCCGCTCTGTCTCGTCGCCCTTTGGAAGCCGCTCTGAGGGCGCGGCCATATTGAGAAAGTCTGGATCCGTACAGGGAAGAGCGGACTTCAGGGCTGGGAATCCGGAGGCGTTCACGGCACATTTGAGAAAACGGGGATTAGGAGGCTAGAACTGGATCTGGAGGAGCAGGGGCGGTACGAGGAGAGCGCTCTGGATGTGTGCTTCGCGATGAGAGACGGTTGTGAAGCATTCACTGGGACCCGAGGTCCACGCCAGAAGATTAACTCTTGTATCCCGTGTCCCAACATAAACTGAGTACATTAAAGAAGGATCCTGTGTATCCTCGTTAGTCACAGCCCACCAGTCATTTGTTTTTGTGAATACCGCACAGATAATGATCCCAGCAGCATTATTTAGTCGGTTTCCCCCACTGCTATGTAGTACCATCTGTCATAAATCAAGTCTCCTTACCTTCATGGCTCTGACTTAGGACGTTCTGTTCCATTGGTCTCTTTGTTTATCCCTGTGCCGGTACCACTATGTTTTAGCTATGGGAGCTTTCCAAGTCTTAACAATCCGATAAAGCAAGGTCTCCTACCATATTCTTTTTCTATGAGCCTGTTTTTGTTCTTTAGGCCCTTTATATTTTCAAATAAGATTTTTTAAGTTTATTTTTGAGAGAGACAGAGACTGTGAGTGGCAGAAGGGCAGAGAAAGGGACAGAAAGAATCCCAAACAGGCTCCCGCCTTCAGCACAGAGCCTGAAGCAGAGCTCCAACCCAGGAACCATGAGATCATGACCTGAGCCAAAATCAAGTCAGACACTTAACCAACTGAGTCATCCAGACACCCTTATATTTTCAAATAAAATTTTAACTCACCTTGTGAACTTCCACACACACAGAAGTGTTTGTGGAAAAAATCTAGAATAGCATTCCAGGGCTATCTCTGTGAAGGGATCGGGACCATTGAAAATGATGAGAAGGAGGAACGCCTGGGTGGCTCAGTCAGTTAAGCATCCGACTTTGGCTCAGATCATGATCTCCAGGTTCGAGAGTTTGAGCCCCATGTTGGGCTCTGTGCTGACAGCTCAGAGCCTGGAGCCTGCTTCGGATTCCGTGTCTGCCCCTCCCCCACTTGCACTCTGTCTTTCTCTCTCTCTCAAAAATAAATATTAAAAATTTAAAAATGATGTAAGGGTGTTTACTGGAAAGGGATAAATTGGGCTTCTGGAATGTTCTATGGCTTGATCTGAGTGGTAGTACATAATTGTTAACACATGGGTGTTGCCATTTTATGTTAAACTAATACATATGTGTGTGATTGTATTTAATATACTTTTCTGTATGGTATATTCTAGAATACAAATGTTTTAATAATTGTACATACTCCACTTTACACAGCTGGCAACTAGGTAGAATTAATAGATTTTTAGTTACAGGCAACAACTGCCTTCACTTTTATGAATACTTCACGGAAACAAATAGCTTAAACATCCCAAAAGAGAGGATTGTGTTTGGGGTGCCTGGCTTGCTCAGTTGGTGGAGCATGTGACTCTTGATGTTGGGGTTGTGAGTTTGATTCCCACATTGGGTGTAGACATTACTTAAAAATAAAATCTTTAAGGGGCACCTGGGTGGCTCAGTCAGTTGAGCGTCTGACTCTTGGTTTTGGCTCAGGTCATGATCCTGAAGTTTGCAAGTTCAAGCCCCATGTGAGGCTCCACACTGACAGTATGGAGCCTGCTTGGGATTCTCTCCCTGTCTCTCTGCCCCTTCCCTGTTCTCACTCACTCTCTCTCAAAAAAAAAAAAAAAAAAAAAAAAAAAAAAATCTTAAAAAAAAAGGAGGGGGACATTTGGGTGGCTCGATGGTTGAGAGTCCGACTTCAGCTCAGGTCATGATCTCACTGTTGGTGAGTTTGAGCCCCACATCAGCACAGAGCCCACTTCGGATCCTCTGTCCTCCCTCTCTCTATCCCTCCCCTGCTTGTTCTTTCTCTCTCAAAAATAAATAAATCTTTTAAAAATATAAAAAATACAGACAGAGAGGATTGTGTTTAGCTAGGCCCAAGTGTCTGGTCTAGGAGCCAAAAAGCTCATGTGAAAAGAGCACTATCCTAAGAGCTCCCATTTCCCCCTCCTTTTCATTTACCTGCTAGATCTTGAGTGTTGAGCTCAATTGTTTCATTCTTTTCACAGAGGCATTAAAGGACTCTGGTCTTCAATTTGCCCAACTTAAAGGACTATGGTTGTTCAGTCCCAAGACCTAGTAACCATGTGGAAGCTAATACAGTAGGGCCTGATTCTGAACACGGTCATAGGATTTTTAAATTTCATGAAGGTTCTGTTGCTGCTTTATATTGTATCTTTGGCTTTGGGGGCTTCCTGGCCCCAGGAAGCTTCACTGTGGCTTTCTTGTCTGACACTTTCATTGAAGTGAGGTTTCTCTTTTCAGTATCTGGGCCTTATTTTTTTCCAAATACACTATCAAAGGATTAGCATCAGAAAGACACTGTGGTTTGTAGGAGAGTATCTTTTATTATTAGAAGATTCAAGTTGAAGGCTCCTGGATGGCTCAGTTGGCTGAACATCTGACTTTAGCTCAGGTTCATGAGTTCGAGCCCCACATCTGGTTCGCTGCTGTCACAGAGCCCACTTCGCTTCAGATCCTCTTTCTCCCTCTCTCTCTGCCCCTCCCCCACTCGTGTTTTCTCTCTCTCTCTCTCTCTCTCTCTCTCCCTCTCAAAAATAAATAAAGAAGATTCTAATTGAAGTATTTGGCAGCGAAGGATCATATGTCTGCAATCTTACTTTCAATTAGTTCAATCAAAAGTAGATTGGGGGGTGACTGGGTGGCTCAGTTGGTTAAGCATCCGACTTTGGCTCAGGTCATGATTTCATGGTTCACGTGTTCGAGCCCCACATCGGGCTCTCTACTGTCAGTGCAGAGCATGCATCAGATCCTCTGTCCCTCCCTCTCTCTCCCTGCCCCTCCCCCACTCATGTTTTTTCTCTCTTCCTCTCTCAAAAATAAATGAACTTAAAAAAATGTTTACTTTAAAAAAGCAGTAAATTGGATAGTAGAGATGGATGGATAAGTAGAAGATACACAGATAAAGCAAATACAGCAAAATGTAACATTTACTGAACTTATGTGATCTATATAATGGTGTCCACTGTACTATTATTTGAGTTTTTGTATGTACATGAGGATTTTTATGATAAAAGGCTTGGGAAACTACTAGTGACTGATTTTGGATATGTAACTGATTCTCCTTAGTGTGTCTGTTTGCAGTTGGGAGGAAGTGGGAGAAGAAAGTAGAGGTTCTGTCCAACTTAGATTACTGGTAGAAATCAGCACTCATCTGGAAGAACCCATTCTATACTCATCCCCAGGGAGAAGCAGGGTTTCTGTCTGGCTTCCTGGACTGAAAGCCTGCGGGGAAGGTAATGAATTGACGCTACTTGGGAGTATGTGAGCTTCTTGGATGTATAGAGTGTTTTCATCAAATTTGGAAGCTTTTGTCATTATTTGTTCAAATATACCTTCTGCCATGTATTCTCTCCCCCTTCTAGGGATTCCATTATGCATATGGTGGTATGCTTGAGGGTGTGCTATAGATCTCTGAGGCTCGGATCACTTTTTCTTTTTCTTTTTTTCTACTTCACTTTTTCCTTTTTCTCACTGTGGATAATGTTTATTGATCTTTCTTCGTGTTGGCTTGTTCTGTCTTGTGCCAGATCAAATTTGCTCTGAGCCCCTCTAGTAAATTTATTGTTTTTATCTCTTTGTTGATATATGCCATTTGGTGAAGAACCATTATCATACTTCCCTTTGGTTCTTTAGTTTTCTGCTCCTCGAACACACTTCTAACAGCTGATAATGTCATTGTGTATTAAGTCTGACACAGAAGACCTCTCGGGGACAGTTCCTATGGACTCCTTTTTTCCTTGTGTATGGGCCACACTTTTCTGATTCTTTGTGTATCACAAATTTTTATTGAAACTAGACATTTTAGATAACATAAAGTTGCCCCCCTTGCCTCATGGTTTGCTGCGGTTACTGTTGTTGCAATTTGTGTGTTTGGTCATTCCTGGACTAATTCAGTAAAGTCTGTTTTCACTGTAGAATGTGGTCACTGAAATCCTTGCTTGGCTATCAGATTAGTCAGGGATTTCCTTAGCTGCCTTGGAAGTCTTCCCCTTTTGCCAAGAATAATTTGTGTGTTGAGGCACCACTTCAATGCTGAGGCAGGTGACAGTTTGGCCATGCTTCCATCAATTATTTCAAAGAAAAAAAAATCACAAAGCGCTGAGACAATATAGACATTTATGCATTATTATATTTGATTGCCTTCTAAGCGAAGCTGAAAGCCTCTACATGACTACGACGTCATGTAAATCTTTTTGTCATCAGTATCTTGGGTACATGTCTGTCACGTTCTAGACAGCCCTATATCTTTGCTTGAGTCAGTGAATAACCAGATTCCTTGAAGAAAAGAGAAAGTGTTGTGAATGCATCGTTAGTAACTCGGGATTTTTTCCCGCACCATTTAAGAGCAGAATCTCAGTGCTTGGGGATCTCGATGCAACAGTATCAGGGGGCTGAGGGTGGGATAAGATGCCGCCAGAAAGGTGGTGGTTTGCTGCATCCAGAGGTGAGACTTGAACAAAACACTGTAAAATGTAAGGACAGAATTGGTGAAGTAAAAAAATGTGAAGGTGCTTGCTAGAAGCAAGATGGTTTGAGTGGCTCTCCCCTCTGGAGAGAATCTATGGGCGTTTTTGAGGGTGTGAATGTGCCTCACTCTCCGGTGGTGTCTATGAAGGAAAAGTACTGTGTAAACACTGGCCCCAATCATGGCTCCCATGAAGACAACATCTGGGAAAGTCATTAGAATTGTGTATTTTGTAGCACCAGGTG